GGGGGGGGGTGATCCAGAGGTGAGCCAGAGGAAGATTCGTTGTGTCAGAGGCAAAAAATAGAGGGAGTTTTACAATATGGATGGAATAGAGATCATTCAAGTAGGTTTAGATAACTTGTTTTTCCCCAAATGGACAGAAACAGAGTTTGAGTGCTTCTTCACGAAACAGGCTGCTGGCACTTAGACATTCAACTCATTCTTCATGCGTGTAAAAAAACAAACAGAGGTCCTCAAATAGTTCTCGGGCCTGTGAGGCGGTCGTGTCACTTCCTCCTCACGCCGTCCTCGGGATCCCTCTGCTGCTTTATGAGCTTTTCGATCTCAGCCCCGAGAGTCTGCAGGTTCTCCTGAAAAACAGAACAAAAGGGAAGATGAAGCATTAAAGCGGCACACGAGGGACCGGTGCGCTAGTTATAACTCTATTGTTAAAAACCGGCCCCTGTCTTGTCCATTTTCCTGATGTTTTCTGAAAATAGCAGGGCATTAGTCACACCGTGTGCAGAAACCAATTGCCGCCATCAAATCTCATCAATATGAAGGACAATCATCGGCGGCTTAAAAATCAGAAAAGCCTGGATCATCCATCTCGGTAAAAGTGAAGCCTTGATATGGCTTTGTCTGAATATTTTACTGTCATTTTAACGTTGAGTGTTTTTACATCATTCCTTCCTTCACGCTGCCAATCATCTTTCATCTGCAGAAAGAAGTCTGAAAGCCAGAAATTACTCCCACATTTTATTGCAATTTATTGTCTTGTTCAGGTTTTTTCTTTTTTAATGAAGAGAGTCTCTAATATGTAAAAAAACAAACAAAAAAAACAATAAGAAGCTGACTGGCTGCATCATTTGGAAATATTTATGAAAGCTTGTTCCCACATAAACATCAAAGTGGCTGCGACAATACATGTTGAAAGAGTGGTGACACTTTGCTTGGATTTATGTGGGCGTGTTGGAAACGCTAGAAATATTTTGTTTTGCTGTTTTTGTTGTGTAATCCACCAGATTGATTTTTTTTGTCATTTTATTTATCGATTTATTTATTTTTCTGGCCCACCATGTTTGACACTGATTCTAGACACATTTGACATTTTCTATGTCGACATTTGCTTGCATTGCACTGCATTGCACACTGACTGCAGAAACAGACACAGCGGTAAATTGCCTGTAATTGTCTTGTTTTTATCCACAGCGAGCAGCATTTAAATAAATGACCTCTGTTAAAACTCACTGCAAGCCCGGCGCTGCACTAACTGACGGCAGCTACCTACTGAACGGCTCTGGAGGATTCAGAAGCCACGGAGAGAGATTTCCCTCAGGAGCCGGTGGAGAGCAAAACAGAGCGAAATGGAGAAACGCCACACAATCACAGGCTAATGTTGTTTTGGGTTGTGACTGCTGGTTACATCCACAAAATCAAATTGAGGCTGTAAGCTTTATGTTCAGCGACGAAATGTGAATAAATATGAGCAAATCAACATAGATACACAACAAGGTCAACACGCAGCACTCTGATAAATACATCCACACTCCAGCTGGGTGGGTAATGCCAGTCTTAACAAGGTTAATCTTAAAAAAAACAACAACAACAACAACAACTACAAAAAAAACAAAAACCGTCTGATCGTGTCCACTAAGGGGACATAAATAAATACTTTCCACATCCAGCCTCTACATGATGTCATATCCCCTCTCAAGTTTCAAACCTGAGAAGGAATATTGATCGATACGACATCAACAAGTCAGAAACTACTAAGTGCATTAAAAGACCGAAAGGTTCAGCACACTAAATGAGGATGGACACCATTAATTGAGGCTTAAATCAACTATGAATAAAGAATACATGTCTCAGTTACAGTAGGCCGCAGTCTCTGTGCTCAGCGATAGCATCAATAATGCAGGCTCTGATCTGAATTGGACTACGACTTTCAACGTGTCGTCTCGAGTTATGTCAAGCTGACAAACTGCTCGTCGCAGGACTGTCAGCCTGTCAAATATCTCACAGAGACAATACGATGCATGCTGTGGCTGGCTTTGAAGCTTCGAAGAGCGATCCAAATATCACATAACGCCACTTAACGAAAGGGAAAAGGTGGTCTGACATTCACCCTTTATCACATTCTTTTTAATGGTGGTTTCACAACATGCGGTTATTGACAATAACTGGCTGTGTGGCGCGGTTTGCTTCCTGCCATTAAACAGAATACAAAGGCAACGACGCAATGAAAAGATGCCATAAGAGATACACAAGAAATTTGACTGAACTTAACGCAATAATAATTTGTAGGATGTCGAGATGATAGAAGTTTAATAGCAAATATCTCAGTGTGAAACTTTGTGCTAGAGGCGCTAAAGCAGAGCGAGCCAGGCATCCTGCAGTCTCCAGGGCTTACAGAGGTGTGAGATTAATGTACGACAAGAACACAAACGCTAGAAACACAAAAACATCTTCCAACCGTTAAAATAAAAACCACGAACGCAGCAGAATACACCTTTACAAGCACGAGCGTGATCTGTGCAAATGAAGAAGAAGGGGAAATGCTACGCTGGCAGCTGTATGAATTAGAAATGCTGATGTGAATAATTTTTCGGTGTTTTGTGATGCGTCAAACTGTGAATCCACCAGTTTGACATCAACTCACATTTTTATATTTAGATTTGTTGGATTAAAATGGTGATTGCAGCGCCCGCACGCTTTGATAATGAAGTCACATCAGGCTGTGGCGCTCCAAAGGTGAAGCGTGACGCTCGCACGGCTGATTAATTATCCGCTCGAATCACAAAATAAAATACTTAAATTTTTTTTTTTAAAAAAGCAACTTAAGGCTGCAAAAGGAAACTGCTCTGGTCATCAATATAATCACTGCGTTTAAATGAGTTGTTCTGCATTTCAAGAGGAATACTCTGGTGCGATGAAGCCTGCTGGGGTACGCCTTACCTTCAGCGTAATGTTCTTCAGCAGCGTGTCCTCCAACACGGCCTGCAGCTTCCTGTTAATCTCCAGCGACAGGTCCAGGGTCAGCCCGCTGTCTGCCGGGTGGGAGGTGTAAAGCGAAGCCATGATGCCTCCCCGCCGGCTGAGGTGGGCCTTGTTAATATCAGATGCCTCTGATGAGAGGGCCCCTGTCTCCTCTCTCAGCACATAGCTCTGGATAATTCTGCAGGGATGAAGAGGGAGGAGATGAGTCAAACCACATGCTTCCAAAAAAAAAAAAAAAAAAAAAAAAAAAAAGGGAATAAAGTGAATGCATCGACTGGAGACTGCTGAGTGAAGAAAATTGAGAAAGTGGGATTTCATAGTTAGGAGCTCTCCATGCTCCCGCAGAGCAATAAACCATTTCCAGCAGCAAAAAAGGAAGAAAAAAAAAAAAACTCAGCCGACATTACAAGAATACTAATCCCACTGGGATGGGCTGTTGCACTCATGTACGCGGGATACATTCAGTCATAGTTAGAAAGAATATTATTGTGCCTGTCAGAGAAGGAAAGGTAATGAAAACGCGGCATAAGAGCGGCCGACCAGGATTCAATTAATCAACTGGCATGCCTGCATGCGCGTATGAGAAAGTGAGATAAATCTTTATGTTCATTATACATTTTCATCACAGTAACAATATGGTGTCGAGGTTAAGCTATGTTTGTGTCACAGAGAGGGAAAGAAGAGAATTAATCAACTTAACAGCTCTAAACTTCCTGTTGTTCAATTTTCCCATCGCAGCCCAGCGAACACTGAGGAGCAAGTGTTTCCATTTAGAGGAGACCAGACCCATAGAGAGCCGCCACTGAATTTCAATTCATTACTGCCGCCTACATTCTTACTCCCCCCCCTCCGTCAATATGTGACCAAAGACAGAGAGTGAGAGAGAAAATAATGCAAAGTACAAGCTCAAGCGAAAGATGCTGGTTAAGTATGGTAGGGAGATTAAAATGTTAGCATTTTTTTAAAGTCTGCTGTCATATGAGGGAAGATATTTGAGTTAGATTTTAGACATCAAAACTGAAACATGCGCAGGCCTTTTCCAATTGCATCCGTATCCTTTCATTTTCCAATTACTTAATAAAGGAGTGCAGATAGCTGAAGAGGGCTGCGTACTGTCCTAGAGAAAAGATCAACAACCCAGTACTATAATCGATATTTGTAACCCGCTGTCGATCCAACCATAAACCTAAAGTACTCAACTATCAACTAGCAATGTGTAGTTCAAATTCAGGGTGGCTAGCTATAAGATGAGCTCAGAGTAGGGGGCACTTAAAATAATAAAAGCTGAAAGACTCGAGATTTTTAAAAAGATTCATTAGATAGGAATACAGTGTTTAAAACGCTTCTATTTCTATATTAAACACAACTACCACTACTGCCACCAAGACTCATTAAGTATTTATGAAAAATGCAAAGTAGGAATTAACACAGAACCATAAATGGAAATGAGTACAAAACATCATCCTGTGCTATGAGGAGCTTTATAGATCAGTCATCTTTCAGTCTGCAACAAGCTATGGATCCATTCTAGTCAATTACACTGACCTCCAGTGGTGTCCTTCAGTGTTAAACACCTAGATTTTTCTTGGGGTAGACATGCATGGGGGACTAAGTGATTCAAGAAGAGCCCACTGTTTAATTATTCCTGTTCGCAGAGGCATTTATGTGAATGTGTTGGGAAAGAGGTGAAAAGGGTCGGAAACATGCCTGTGATATTTTCATTAATATAACATGCATTAACGGCCCATGTTAAAATAGGTGAATCGAGTTGCAGGTACCAATCAGCATGCAGCAGCCTACATTTGTAAAAAATGCAAAAGCACCAGCAATTCAACCCGAACTGAAAAGATTCAATGTTTGCATAAACAGAAAAGAGGGATTGTTTTTAACATGCATTTTAAGCATCCATACTCAGAGATGGGTCCTGCTCCTGTTCTTTTATAATGCATGTGCTTTTTATGCTAATGTAAATCTAACACATAAGGAAAGCTAACATCTACCTCAAACTATGCTATGGTGTATTGATTCTAATCTAGCAAAGCAAATAAGTACATGGGTGCAAAATTATATGGACAATAGCTCTGCAAGTATCATAAAAGAGCCACCACCAGAAAATATCCCCATCCACACTCACAGAAAAACACATGGGCTACCACACACATAAAATTAAACTTACCTCTAGACTAGCCTTGCAAGGGTCCATATTAGGACCCCAGTTCCATCACGACAGTGTTTAGTAAAAACAAAAAAAAAAGTGACAGAAATTAAAGATGTGGCTACATGATGTGCTCAATGGCATGCACAGGTCGGCAGGGGGAAGAGATCAGAAATTTAGAATGACAATGACTTATTATTTTGAATCTAAGACTCAAAGGGATTTTTTTTTCCTTCTAAAAAAGAGGGGCAGCGAGTCATGCATGCATAGCGTGAGGGTGGCACAACAGCTCAATTAAGAAACCACAGTTCTTAAGATTACAAACTTTGGACTTCAAAGGTCGGAATAAAGATAGCGGACAAAAAAATATATATATATTGTGGTCTGTATTCAGAACATGGAGGCTATAAGCAGGAAGTAATCAGCTTCATTTTGTACAACAACAAGTACACCTGCTCAGTAAATGCAAATGCATGTGATGAGATCTCAATAAACCATAACACAATCCTTCATCCAGAAAATATGAAGGGACAACATCATGACAACAGCAAAAATACTTTAAGATATGACCCTGACTGGCAATGAGACAGATATCCCTGAAGTGATGCGTCCCATTATGCATACTTAACCCATTCACCAGTGTGGGCCCACAATAGCCTGCAACAGAGCCTGTATTCCTCTGATTTACAGTTATCATTGATCGCAGCCTTAGTGGAGTGAAAAGAGTGCTCTCCAGATAAATAGGTATCAACACCTCCTGAGCAGAAGGCCTCCGCCTGCTTTGTTCCCATCTGGTCTTCAACAGTATCATTTTAATTCAAGTCACATGAACAGCCAATTTAGACCTAATGGCCATAATAACCAGGTGTGGCAGTTGAGGGAAAGACATCACTGCCCTTGAAGGATGCTGCTGCTAATTCTGCTCGTTTTAGCTCATTTACTTCCAATCACATATGCTGTACTCTATACACTGACCCGTCTTTGACTTCCTACACACATTACATCAACAAGCCACTCCGGGAACATAATGCAAGGCTGCGTGATGAGTGAAAATACATCTACAAATCACCAGGTAGCGATAAAATTGCTAAGTGGGAGGGACCATTTCTGGTTTCGCAATTATTTTTTCTTTGCTCCTGCAAGACTATTATATTGTAGCAATGCTACAGCTTTTTAACTGTAGCCGCAGGTTTCAGTCATTACAATATGGTTTCTGCAGAATCTTGTTCTGTCTGGCTTAGAAAAACAAAATACTACAATACCATTGATCTACAGCTACCGTCGCTAAAGAAAATAGACCAATGGTACTGTAAGACTAAGCAATATGGACCAAATATGATCCTGCATTAAAGCCATAAGAAGATTTCACAACTGAACTTTAGCCAATATCGAGAGAATGGGCAGCTTAAGATGATGCTCAGACCTGATTTTTCTGAGCAGAACAAAACAGAAGACCGACTGCATCATGTGAGTTCGCCAGGCTGGAAAAACACCATTTATTTTAGGCGATGAGTATCCTTGTTAGACACCTGAACACTTTACTGGACTTTGTGAAAACTCACTCAAGTCAGACCCCACTGCATATTCCTTCATGGGATAATTATAAGAAAGGTTTAGGGCTCAAACTGTTCAAATGGGGCACTGTGTCTCTCTCTGTGTTGCAGGCGTATTTGTGAGCTAGTGGGGCCACTGGGACTGCAGTGGACTGCACTGATGCAGCTTTAAAGAAAAAAAAAAAAGGGTTTTAGATTGCAACAATAAACCGTATCACTATCAAATATCTACTTTGAATAGATTTTAAATGTAAAACGTATTGTCCAGCCCTGACCAGTGGCACCCAGAAAGGCTCCTCCCACTTTCAAAAGTGAGCTTAAAGATGAAAAACACTGCTATGATTATGACAAGTGTCATGGATGTGGTATCGAAGATTAGCCACCAACTCTCCTTTATCTGAAACCCTTTAAGATTTAGCCGCCATGTATCAGTCTCTTTATTCATCACCTGCTTCGGCCTTACAGCTATCTTGTCAGTGTTCACCGGGCTGTCCTGGAGGGATAGGGACAGAAAGGCAAAAAGGACAACTTTACATCCCTGCTCTGAGTAGTGTAACCCTCCCACACCCGGCCCCGTGCTTAGCAGAGATTTTACACAGCTAAATTTAGCTTTGCAACCGTGGGATTCGTCCTCAATTTTAACTCTTAAATGTAGGTTGAGGCTAATGGATTCAATCCGAGTTTATGGCTGGGAAACAAATGAGAAGTGGGAAAGCAGAGATGATCCAAGTAGAATCAAGTAGGATGGATGAAAAGAAAAAAAAACTGAAGCAGAACTTTAGCAAACTGTACAGCTGAACTATAGGACTTCAGTTATTTACCTTTCAGCTTTGAGACCTTCTGACTTTTTAAATATCCTATTTTTTTAGCTTTATATCATATCAAAAACAAATATATAGATTTAATAAACATATATTCATTGATCATTTTATCGTAGTATACCAGTATAGCACACGATGGACTGCGAGGCCTTAAATGTAGAATACGCAACACTGCGATGAGATTAATATCGTCCAAACGTCCTTTACACTGGCTTTTTCATTGCAGGTGATGGAGATGAATATGGATGGAGCATCATTAAGCAGTCATACACATGCGGCTCCATGTATGGCTCAGACTATAAATAGATTTCAGCGAAGTTTGTCATGAATGAGTCAGTGCCTTCATGGGTTAGGATCAAAAGATTAGAGGGTGAGACAAAGAAGGAAGCAGAGCACCGTAAACTGTCTGTATGGGGGTCAAGGTCAGCTGAAGCATCCTTTCATCATTTGGAAAATCTGTGTCGAACCAAGTTATGAAATGAGATATGATACGTTCAGAGCTTAGCTGTCATATTGGTCGGGGTGTTTCAATGTTTAAAAAGTGAATAAAAAGAACTGAACGTATACGTAGCATAGACTACACATCCTACTTTAAGTTGTTAGTTTTCTTAAAAGGCAGAGGTTGTTTGCAGAGCGTTTCATTTTCTCAAACCTGTAATATTACTGCTATCTTTTAAATAAAAGCCATAAAGCCTGAAACACTGTATCTGAGACTTTTGTGCATTTGCACTGGGACTGCTGTCAATTTCAAACCTTTATCCATAAGTACTGCTTGAGCACGCAACAATCAAAAAGATTCCAAAACATTAGAGGTAGAGATGGAAGAAGTTGGGTCATTTCCCGTTTTCTGCTTCCTCTATGTTGGTCCATCCCACTCACTTGGTCTTTTTGCGGATCTCTTCCACCAGTTGCTTGATATGGTCCTCCATGAATTCGATTTTCTCCTGCTTCCGAGCTAGAGCCTTTTGCAGACGGACGATACGCTCAACGAGCAGAGCCTTGTCGACCTCTGGGAAACTGTCCACAACCACCACCGAAGGGCCCGACTGGCTCTCCGGTGACCGCTCTTCAACGCCACTGCTGCCGCCATGACGTGCATTCAAAGAACCTGGAGCATCAAGGGGATAAAGACACACATCACCAATGAACAATTATCACTGATGTGGCTTTGATCATGTAAGAATAAGCTGTGAAATATTGCTTTCCTGTATGAAACATTGACTAGATACAATGTTTGGGGGGTTTTTTTAGAAGAAGAAAAAGAAGAAGAAGTAGTATCTATCCCATTGAAAGGCCCAATAGCAAAAAATAAAAAATTACAACTTTAGGTGTTAAATACTAACCAAATCTTGGAGTAGTACCTGAGGAACTGGAGCGACTGCCCATACTGCTGGCATCCCGTTCGCACCCTCCATTCTCAACTTGCTCCAGCCTTTTTCGGGCTTTAGAGAAAAAGAAAGATTTGTTAACTGTCAAAAAGTGACTAATACCAAGATGTCATTGTCACAGACACTTTGTGAAAATCAACATCACTGACAATTAAATATTATGAAAATGAGCATCACAGCTCAGCTGAACTCTGAGTATTCCTCTCGGAAGGAGTCAACCTGAATAAACATGACACAGGTTGCTTTTGAAGAACCCTGCAGGCTCAGCAAACCTTCCAAGGTTGAACAAAGGCTTGAAATGACTATGCTGATTAAGTGTAACTGCTACACTGATGAAAAATTACTGTTTCTGCCAAGAAAAATGTCCTCTCTAGCCTACAAGACAGCTGAAAGTGAAAGGATTGATCACAGAACATAAAAGTGCTGAACTTTCAGCTCTAAGGTTTTTCTTTGCTCCCAGAGAAGAGGCGAGGGAAGCTGGCTCACCCTGTTAGGTATAACCACAGCAGGGATCCACCTGTACACTCATCAATCACTTTGCAGATTCTCCTCGTTATGTGAATCTGTGATAGTGTTCTTCTTTGTTTTCTTATCCAGGTATACTTTTATTGCCCTGACACTATTTTTGCGATCATTGTCATGTTGATTTCCAGATGGTATTGTGTTGAGAATCTCTTGAAGGTTTTCTGTATTCATGATTCCACCAGTTTTGACAAGATCTCCAACACCACTATTCCCAAATCATGACAGAGCCTTCACTGTAGGCTGTAGACACTCATTGTCTCCTGAAGTCCTTCATACATAGATGGTGATTTCAGAATCAGAAGACGGGCCAGATACATGTGTCAGGTTTTTGCTGGCTTTTTTCCCCAATTCTTAAGGATATGACTTTCAAATAATGTTTATCTGATGGAGATAATTTTTCAGGCTTGGCACTTCTTCTTTTATCCTCAAATTTTTTAAAGCACACACTGTACACCATTCTGAGATATGCCAATATTTCACCTAATAGCTCTTTGGGAATCTCCTTGCTGGTGTTATCTTTGGAACCAAAAAATAAGAACATGAGCAAAATGTCCCAGCAAATGTCCAAAAAGAACTATGAAAGCCCTTCGATAAGCCTGGAGAACTATTGCTTAAGACTACTTTAAAAAATGACGAGAAGCTGGCTCCCTGGAAGCTAAATCTAAAGAAAAATGAGGTGAATCAAGACTTTTCTGCAGTACTTTATATATGAATGACAAAACTATTGAAGGGTTGATAATTCAATGAAATGATACAATTCTCTATATTACAGTTATTCTGTTGTTTCATGACAGTTAGCAAAGGGTTTGTCACAGTGGGTGTCTGCACATGTTTGATTTGCACAGATCTCTTTGAGACCGGTCTTCTCCTTAGATGGAACTCGGGATTTTTAACTTGTTAGGAAAATGTGTAAACCACTAAACAACCGAGACGCTGCCATTTTCCATGATAGATGTTTGAGAAATCATCTGCCTTTTCAAACCAACCTTTATTATTATTATTCTAGACTTTCTATACAAAAACAAGAGATGCATAAATACATTAGGGTATCTGACCTTGTGTTAGCTGTTTTGTGAGGTCTTTGATATTAGCAGCTTGCTTCCTTTTCTGAGTCACCAGCTCATCCCTCAGCTCTTCTACTCTGGTTTTCAGTTGGGCCACCTCCGTCTGCAGTGCTGCCCGCTCCTCCTGCAGACTCTGCACCTCTTGTCGTCTTAGCGCCTCTTCCTGTTTCAGTTGCTGTGACTGCAGGATTAATGGTGTAAGAAAAAAAAATGATGTAATAACACCAATTATATAGTAGTAATATATATTGGAATGGCTGCTTGCTTTAAAAACAAAATTAAAAAGATATTTTAAGACTTTCTCCTGAATTTCGAGCAGGAAAATGTCATTACTTATAACAACACAGTGATCCACTGTATGTTTTCTCAGTTCTGCTTCTACAAAATGATTCAAACATTTGATTAGAAAATGTATTTCAATCTTTCTTTAATCAAACCAGGAAACGTGAGCAGACGCTGAAACCAAAACAATTTGATAACAACTTCAAAAAAGAAGAAAAACAAAGACAAAAATGAGTTTAGTATCATTTTTATCTTTCATCTCATCAACAAATGCATTGTATCAGATAGTGCACTCAGAGTACGCCAACCTTGTCTTCCAGCAGCCTGTTGGTCTCCTCCAGCTTTCCTTGAAGCTCGGTGAAGTTGTTAGTTAGCTGGTCCAGCTGAGACTGTAGTGCGTTGCTCTCTGACTGAAGCTGAGCGTTCTTGCTGCTCAACTTCTCAGTGAAGCCCAGTAACTCCGCTTCACGCTCTCTGCTGCCTTGTACATCACGGTGCAGGTCAGCCATTTGATTGGTCAGGCCATCCACTTCATCACGAAGCGATTTGATTTCCTGTTCATCGCTACATCCAGAAAACAATAAATAAATCATTAAATGGGCTTTAAATGGGCTCAATGACTAAAAATAATAATAATAATAATAATAATAATGGCAAGCTAAATATTTTAACTGTTCAATATAATTAAATGTACATGGATTGCATTGCTTATTTAGGTAAGCCTTTTCTTTTGCACAAATATAAAAATGTTTCAGTTTTCTCTACTGTGACTATCCCTTCTTTCTATTAAATCATCTTCACATGGCCATCACAGTCACACACCCACACAGGGACCAGAGTCCCTTTCCTGCCCTCTATGCTATATCTGTCTCTGTTCTATCTTTAAATGCTCTGATGAAGCAGTTGAGTGAGAAAAAAAGAAGAACAGGTAGTATATTACAAACTGTACATTTCTATAAAAAACTGTCATGTCAGCATGGTAATACAGGTCCAAAGCAAAACAAAAACAAAAAAAACAAAACAAAAACTTATATTAAACATGCTTGCTCATAGTGAAATAACAAATGTCACTTTTTTGTGCATTAAGTATAGTTAGACCCTTTAGTTGATGGTGCTTCAATATTTGTTACTATGTAAATGTGCTATCTTTTATTTATTTCTGTCAGATGCCACATATGCAAAACTGCTCTGTTCAGTGTGTGGTGGTGTCCCATCACACTTCCTATATGGGTGAGTGTGTGGCTGTACCATTGATGCTGCTCCTGAAGTGCAGTCACCTCTTCGAGCTTTTCTCTCTGGCGGCCAATCTCAGTTTTTTGCCGGTTGATGATCTCCCTGTACTTGGTCAGCTCATCCTCCCACCGTGGACGCTCATCCTCCAGACACTTTAACTAAAGAATAACACAACTTTTTTGCAGTGAAGACCTGGAGATATCCTGTGTGCCAATGTTTAAACACCTGTATGTCGGACAAACCTTTGTGCGTAGCGTATCAAGCTCATCCATGGCCTCTTTATAGCTCCTCTTCAGGTCTTCCAGCTCTTTGGCTTTCACCCGGTGTAGCTGCCAGATGCAGTAGATTGTTCATTAGATATGCAACCACTGTTTTATGTTTTGCATTGCTTCTGTAAAAATAAGCTCTTAAAATAAGCTATCAAAAGAATACCCAACAAATTTTCCTCTCTTTTTGTTCAGTCTGGTAACTCACATACACAAAAGTTGATTATGGAGTTCCACAGGGTTCTGTCCTGGGACCAATACTTAAAGAAAAAAAAACAATTATAAAAACTTCTCTAAAGCAATATTATTCTGCTATGCAGATGATTACCATGATAGCCAGTTTATGTATGTAGCCATCCAGTTGCAAATAATTGCAGTCTAATTTAAAAATGCATACAATAATGAGCACAAACCCTCTGCAGCACCTATTTGGTACACCCCGACTGCAAATAACTGGCTGGTTACATTTGCTTGTATTCTGGTCATCTTCCTACATAAAAGCAAGGTTGCTGAGTGCCATATCGTGTTGCATCCTGCAGCAACAATGTCACTATTTGTGGAGAAATTTCTGAATTTATTTTTTTTTCAGCTCTTTTCAGAGCTGGATTTAATGTGAATTTCTGTGCATACAGGCTGCAACAGATTTACAGAAGACAGATTTGCAACATTTGCTGATTAATTACAGACTACATTCAACCTCAGGTTGATACCAAACAGACTCCATCTTATTGCAGTTTTGTCACTCTGAAGATGGCAACTGAATGCGAGTGGTCATAGACCTGCCAAAGTCAACAAGATCACAAGTTGCAATAATTCTGGCCCTGCCAGTCTCCAATTACTGTTTACCCTAATGTCACCAGACCCTTGTTACTCATGCTTTATATTTAGAAAACCTATTATTTGGCCCCAAAAACCTCTGAAATCTAATCAGTGCATAACAATACCCTGCCCTCCAGTACTACTGAGACGATTATGGAGTCATTTTTCACCAGGACTGGTCGTTTGACTTGCAAATGAAACATGCAGTTGGGGCCACACCTGCTTTCACTTCCACACTATACTCAAAATAGGAAACTCTGTGATTCAGTGATGTTGAAATACTAGCCAGCATATTTGTCTATAAATAACATTGGTCAGAACTCTGCTAATTCTGACTAATTATTACAACTTAAGTTCAGTGGTTTTACAAAGCAATGCAACTATCGGTCAAAAAAGAAAATCATACAGTTGCAGAATTTTGAATGCAGAAGCCTTCCTGGGCAACCTGTGTGTGTTATAGTAATCTGTTCATTAAAGTTGCTTTATTTATGCACTAATTAAGCATGTGAAAGCAATGACCATCTTTTTAACAAAGCCATTACCAGTGCTACTGAAAGTCAACTTTTCCCAGAAGCTATTAGTAGTCTGTGGTAACCACGACAACATGGCAGTAATGGAGATGCTGGTAAATTTTCTACTGTTGATTCTTACATTTATCCCTTCCAATCTAATTTTATAGCCAAAAACCAATGGAAACTTTGTACTTGCATTATTTATGACTGAGATGCATCATCACTTGAGCATAACACACATACTAAAATAAACACAGGCTTGGACCAGTTTATTCATCAGCAGAGTAGTGACATCTGCCAAAAATCAACATCCATGATAAACCCTGTCCTAAAAACTATTTCCACACAGTATCAGTGATGGCCCTGCAATGTACTCTCCAGTTACTGGGAAGAATAAAATCTCTGACATAATACCTAACTGGATGAATCTCTTTATGATCAAATGTCAGACCCCTGAAGAAAACAAACCAATGTAAAAAACATCTGCCACCTTAAATCCATCAAAATGTAAATCTAAGACCATCTCATTTAAACACAGACATTTTAAGGACTTTCTAGAAAAACAAAACAGGCTGTAGAATGAAAACAGGAGATGTGTGATGTATCCTGAGTTGTTGTTGAAATGCACAGCTTCATATTGATTATTTCTAGGCCATTTATTTTTAAAGTGCATTTCCCTTTAGAGCGGGAAGCAGCAAAAAACAGGCCATTGTGTTTGGATTGAGTCCACGTTTGTGCCTGCGTGTAAGGCATGTCTGCTCGGGGAGCGCGAATGCCAGTTTGTTATCTCGTCCAAGTTAAGGCAATTACACCTCTCAAACTGAGAAAAACAGGCCAAAAACATTTTTTACTAGAAGAGCTGGCATCGACAATCAATAAAAGGCTGAATAATGGCTTGGCGAATCACAGCGTATGTGCAATTTTTGAATTATTGTTTGTTTTGTCTTCTGGTGCCTCGTCACACAGATAAAAATCGAAATTGAGTTCACAAGTAAAAGTAAACCTTCATTCATCCAACAGTTATGTCACCCACTAACTATTGTTTTTGCCGTTTTGCATCAATCGTTGTCCAGGAGTGAATATGGGGATCTCTACACGATAAAAATCAGTGCATCCTCACAAAAAGCAGAGCTAGATTTCTCACTTGGAAAGTCAAAGAAGCCCCACCAATCCCAACTTCATAATCCAAGATTGCAGCAGTGTGAAAAAGCAGTATAACTGCAAAACATAAACTCAGGATGACGTCTCTCCCAGCTCAGACATCCAACTTTTAAGATTAAAGAAAGCAACACAAGTTACAAATCTTTAGTTTTATGCAGTTTAACCTCATTATCAACTAAGTGCACAAACGTAACCAATTTATTTAAAGTTCCTGTTGTTTTTGTCAGTGTCAAAGGCTCCTTCTAGCAACCTAGTTTAACAAGTTAATCTTCAATAAAATGGGGAGGGTTTTTTTATTCTCTACGTTATAATTCTCTTTTTTGTGTTATTATTACATTTTCCCCAATTTTTCAGTTTTCAACTCTTGTTAACACAATCTAACAAATCTACTGCTTATTCAGTGAAAATCCTAATGCTATAATGCAATGTAGTAAACTGAACTTGACATGCAGATGCTATGTTTTGCCTTAGGAGGGCAAAGTGGATGATAGGATGGGTACACATCTCTGAGAATGTGTTGTGTATGCGTATTTAGTTTCACCTCTAACTGGTCTGTTTGTTCCTGCTTGTGTTTCTCCAGCTCTCCTTTCGTCTCCCTAAGTTTAGCATCAAGCTCATTGGACCTGAGTTCCTCTGATTCCTGAAAGAGAGTAGACAGTGAAGATTTTAAAAAACAAACAGGGCAAGAGAAAAGTCAAATACAGTGTAAAAAGACAGCCTTAAAAAAAAAAAAAAAAGCAGAAAAAAGAGGGGTCTCAGTTGAAGGAAAATATTTTTATAGACACAAATAAGAGGGAATAACTGCCAGTAATGATTTTCCATTTGTGGTTTATGTCATATTGTTTTATTTTTAAGTCTTACTTTGTGATATGCTGACACTGTTGTCTGCGATTAAAAAAAAAGGTAATAATCTTTCTACCACAGAGACAGAGACTAGCACAGCTCTTTGCTACCATCACAAGGTACAAATGAAAAATGCTTTTCTCTCGGTCGTGCTCTAGTTCAGTTGTTACTGAATAGCATATTTTTAAATTCTATGAAAAGAACAATGCCGCGGCAATAGCGTCATGCAGTCTTTGTCTGCACGCGTAATAGCACGTTATAGTTAAAGATCAACTTTTGTGTTGGGTTAGGCCATTTATTCAAAAGTAAGCCAACTGATTGCAGTGACAGATACAAATCATGCACAAATAAACACTTATTCAGACTGATTCTGGGAAAATCTACTTCTTCCATGGTCTTGAGCAATCTGTTATTTTCCTGTGTTAAATATCACAAACCTGGTATGTTCGAATCATGTCCTGGCAGTTCTTGCGGATCTGCTCAGTCTCTTCCTTCGCCTGGGCCAACTTGGACGTGGTCTCTCTCAGTTTGTCTTTAGTTTCCTGCAAATAAACACAAATATGCTTTTGTACTATAGCACTAAAGCACAATTTTAACATGCACAGATACCTGTCAACCACACAGGTTACCACACAGAAAAGTGGCTCAACAGCTGCGACCTTCAGGAACCACCGACTTTTTTTTTTTTTTTTTACCATTTCCCCTCTGTTTATAGCCTCATATTTGCTTGGAGTCACTTCAAAAATAAAACCATTAGTTTGTAATAAGACAATCTCAAAAATAGCTATGATGTTAATGATGATTTTGTTGCAGGTCCATTACTGTACCATTTTCACCCCATTTCATTTTGCCTGTGAATCACAAGACGCCTCTAATCATGTTTTTTATGGCGTGTCTGCAGACAAAAATGACTGAAGGAGATGTAATTTGTATGCTGGCGTAAGTCTTTGACAAACAACCGGTCTTTAAACAAAAGGAAATTAACATTAACCAGAAGAGGAATGCTGTTTTAATAATATGGGTAAGGCATACTCTGAAAACTGGAGCTGCATGTAGTCATGTAAATGTGTCATTTTAATTTTTGAATAAAATTTGGCTCTAGCATGCTGAGGTGCACATGCTCACTCTATAATATCATCGAAATCCTGAGGATAATATATGCAACAGAGGTCAAATTAACCTTGTACACCTCCTTTTTTTACCTTCATTGACTATTAAATTTAAATAAAATAACAAAAAATAAACACAAAAGTTACATTACCTTGTGCGCATCTGCCTCACTCTTTAACTTGTTCTGGGCCCATTTGACCTTGATGAGATGGGAGTTGATCTCCTCCTTTAGTTTGTCCACATCTCGAGTCAACCTGCCAACCTCCCCTTCCTAAGAACGCAGTTCAAAGGACAGATCAGCAAACAGATATTTGGTTGGGAGCCAACATTTCTTTTTATTAAAAAACCTGCTTTTTGTTTCTCACTGATAGTTCTAAAAGGGTCCTACATCTGCAAACCACCGTAGGAAGAATAAATCTATCGCCCACACAATGCTCGCTTCACTGAAAAACTAATATAAGGTTGCTTATGTGATCTAATTTTCACTGTGAAGTACTGTGTATTCAAAGCGAGAGCTATGTCTATTTTTTTATTATGTCTAGTGGCAAATTAGGCTGACTTTAAATGAGTTCAAATAGATAAATACAAAACTCTCTCTATAAAACAGAGGCACTATAAAATCGTCACCTTTGCTTCATACAGCTGCTGCAGCCGCCCTTTCTCCTGAGCCAGCTGGTTTCCTCGCAGGGCCTGGCGATCCACCTCTTTGGTGGCTTCTCTCAGTTTCTTCTCCAGACTCTCTTTATCCCGCCTCAGGTCGAGGGCCTCTTTCTCACCCCGCACGTATTTCATCACCATGGTCTCCTTCTCTTGCCTCGCCTCATCACATTTCTTATTCACCTGGGGAGTTTTATTTTTTTAATATTAGGAGATGTCAGTTGACACTTCGATCACTGAGATACTCGTATTGTTAGGTCCTTCTACATATCACAAAAACAACTGACGTTTCTCTTGGAACTGTCCAACAGCAGATGGCTGAGGCAGTGATTTATCAGCTACCTTACTTTGCCTTCCATAACCTGGACAAGTGACAGACAGCTGGAGAAACACATGCACCCTCCCCAGATGCAGTGGGGGTAGACTTCAGGACTGTCACTGTTCATCTGTCAGCATGTCAGCATTTTACAAATGGAGCCAACAAGCTTTCCATTTGCCAGCTATATTCAAAAAAATAAAAATCTGCTCCTTATTGAAGGCAATTTATTAACTTATTATTTAGTAAAGGACAGTAACGCTCCCAGGCTTTTATAATTCCCATATTTTTCTTTTCTTACACTAACAAGGGCTTAACTGTATTTTTTAAAATGATTCAGTAATTCATCAACGTAATTAAACAAAATGTTTTTTTTTTAAAAAATGGTAGGAAATGGTATCAAGGAACCAAAGAAGACACATTCAGTCAGTGAAAGCTTGATAAATAAATATGTGCCATTTAAGCAGCTGATGTGTGTATGGCTGAAACGATAGTAGGACAGGCTCTGCTAACACAGTTAAACATCTAAAATAATGTGTGGAGGAAAAATAACATAATGGATGCGTTCTTCCATAATGACATTTTCCTTTTACAAATATTATACATTCACTCTGCAAGTCCCAACCTGAAGCCCTTCATTAGCCGAGCAGTTTTGAAGACCGAGCATCACCATGGTGCACCTGCTATGCAGACACTTTCATGGACAACAGTTACGCCCCTATGCCTGATCTGTACTGTTCGCTCTAACACGCTGATGCTTTATGAAAGCAAGAGAAAGAGAGAGACACTGTATAAGCTGTGTAAGAGACGATATCTGGCAACTGACTAGACATTTTAACTGATCGCCTCACTCTTATTTTGAAGGTTCAGATTTTGTTAAACACTTATCTCCAGTCCTACACATATTTTCCTTCAAAGCTGTGTCACTGGTCAGTTTGATATCAATATTCTTGAAATCAGCTGCTTCTTGAAAAAAAAAAAAAAAAAAAAAAAGCTCGAGAGACTACATTTCCCACATCACCGTCTATTACAGGTGATGGCAGTTCTTCTTCTCCTCTGTTTTTAATTTGTTGCAAGCTGGAGGTTTGCTCTGAAAAGAATAAGCAGCAAGTGGATAAACTACTTTGTGTGCTGCTATGCATCCTGCAGAGGAGAAAAAGGCTTCTGCCACCCGCTGTGGTTTATGATGGAGCTGAAGTCTGTCAATGGGCGATTCCTCTGAAAGGCAGCTGATTACACTGCTCTTTTATTTATTTGTTGCACAGTACTTGGGATGGCGTGTATTTGCACAGGAGAACCTTATAAAATTGTATAATAAATTTAAGAAAGGCTGTGTACGCCTTCTTTCTTGTACAAAAGCACACGGGTCCACCAACCACTGTGGGGAAACTCAAAGGAAAGAAATTATCTTTTATTTGGCACAAAGCGTCTTTAGATTAACAATACCAAATGTTTTGATCCTCGGGGGCTCCAGCTGATTAGGAGCGGGACACACTATTAGTACAAGAGAGGAATGATTCAAGAGAAGGGCTTAAAGAGAGACAACCAAGTGCAAAATCAAACCCCTACTGCTCATTGAGCAGTGAAATTAAAAATTGTAAAGTGTGACAAAACTGTCAGGAGAAAAGTCCCTTCCATGGTTTCAACCAGGTGTGCAAATGGTTGGATGAAAATGTGCTTCCCTGCACTATTCGTTTAACAAGTGATTAAATCTGCAATAACAAGAGTTTGCCGTGCAAAGACCTTGAACATTCAGCTGCTAGTTTTGCGCAAACAGCTTGAAAGAAAATGAGAATATAAAAGCCTGAGTATTTTTGTAGTTAGACTTCATTTTAACCATTTCAGCAAGTACTTTAATCTAAAGACTAACACAAAAATATTTAGAAGAGAATGTGACATTGACATTTATATTTTAGAAAGCCATATCTCAAACTAGAACCTATAGCAAGGGGAAAACTGCTTTATGTGCTGCCATGTATCCTGCCCTGATACCCCTATACTCTATTCAGCAAATAGGTGCATTATTACACAATGTGAACCTTTCTTCTATAAACAGAGTACATACACAAAAAAAAAACCCTGACTGTTGTGAATGATGTGAATGACTAGTCCAGAGCGCTTTGTTGTGGTTTGAATTTAATTAGCTGTCTGAGATGCTGTTTTTTCACTATGCGATCTCTCCCCCAGATGCTGTAACATTAGTTCTTGTCAGTACATTAATAACACCAACACCATAAGCAGGCATTCATAAAATTGGTGGCAGGAATGTGCACCGTTATATCTTGTGAAGCTCAGAAAACCATTTTACCTACACTTCAACAACAGTGACCCCAATCCAACCACTCAGTGGAACTATAATATACTCCCCCCCTCCCTTTAACATTTTTAAAAAATGTAAAAACTGTGATAAACCTGGCCTACTGATAAGACAGAAACGAGAGCAGAGGTGCACATAACTTTAAGACTGAGGCAAAGCTAATTTGTGCTACCAGATTATCAAGGATGCAGGTGAATAATAGGTTCCAGTTGTACCTGTTCAATCCGGTAACCTGTCTCCTTCTGCATCTGCTGGAGAGCAGCTTTAGCTGACTGCTCCTGGTGAACAAGTTTATCCCGCGACTCCTTCAGTTCTTTCAGCAGCTCGTTCACCTTCGCCTCCAACTGCAAAAACAGGAATAGACAGTGTAATCAACTAGTTGGGCAATTTTGAAGTCTGGGCCACACCTGGGATAACCTGCTATGCAGGGTGACAACTGAGGCAGAATGTGGAATAACTACATTTAGACAGCGGTGTCAGGGCTTTCAACCCCTCTAGATACTTGTACTGTAAACATGGAAATACTCCATTAAAAAATAATGACGAATGACAGACGAGAGCCTCTTCTACCTGAAATATAATCTGTTAATCTGATTGTTTTATGGCACAGTCTTTATTTTCTTATTACATTTCTGAAAAGTAAACAAAATTATGAAATTATTTTGGATTTTTGCTGGACAAAAATGATCCAGGCATATACTGGATGCGTGTAATAATAAAATTACTCCTGTCTGTCTGCTAGGGCAGTGCTTAAACAAACCATGTTACCAAGAACATATTAACCAATTATTGTTGCTTCCATGGCAACAGCAATGCTTAACTGAGCCCGATGAATAGAAACGCACTTTATGTTTGTAGTTGTATCTAGGTGGGTAAGCTTTGTAAGAAGCTTTTGTGGTGGGAGAAACCACAAAAAAGGCGGGATATTAAAAACTGCATAGAATTCACACAAATGATGATGTTCATGCCCATTGAATGCTGGCGATCAGCACACATCACCGGGCTGTTTTGTTTGACTCGCCTGTTTACCAGTTATACACAGCTGTACTCCAATTTTTAATCAAACTGATATGTGACAGTGAAGGGTACAACTACACAGGCTTGCTTCTCCCATTTTAAACAATACAAAACAGACTAATTATTTTCTTGAATGTACCCTTGTTCTCTAACTAGAAAGGTGCTCAGATATCCATCCCAGCAACTTAAAAGCATCAGGTGTGTCCATGGTTTTTGTATTTTGCTTAATGCACCGGGTCACATTCCATCACAAGTGCCAAAACCAAGGTTGAATTTGACAGATCAAAGCATTGCTGACCTCACAACTTTGCCAATTTCAATTGACTTTTAACAGACTCATACCACTGAAAAGCAAAACTCCACAAGATAACTTTGGTGAGGTTTGATCTGAATATCATTTTTGCCAAGTTTGGTAAAAACCACAAAAACATGTCCTTACAAAACATATACGCCAGCACTCCAGTGTGGTGCTTTGAACACAGCTTGACCCAACAAATACAACAGGAAAAAATTGCATCTGGTTCAAAAGGTACTTGTATGAATGTCTGAATACTGATATGTCTGACAAGAAATCAGATTAAAAACACTGAAGTGGAAAATTTTCTCAGTGATGGAAAAATCATTTGGTTAATGTGCTTCCATTACCATTTTTTATAAGTCTCTTGGAAAAAGAACAAAACTTGATGACACATCCAAATAAATATGGCCTATTAGTTTGGAATATGCTTGACTTTGACCAGGTTTTCCCCCCTCATTACTTGAGTTTATATCATAAACAGTGAATTCCATATAACCCTGAACAACATAAGAAAGCATAGGGGCACACTAACCTTTGTAATGGTGGCAAAGCGCTGCTTTTCTGTTTCTGTCCTCCTTTTGAGCTCATCTCTCATTTTGTCCTTCTCTGAACAGATACCCAGGATCAGCTCCTGATGTCTCTTGTTTTCCTCAAGCAACCTGTACAAACAAGAGAGCACGCACAATCTCAGTTCAGCTCAAGCCCATATAAAGTAGTTTTTGAATCTCTAAAAGAATCTTGACTGCTGCTATTAAGGCCAAGAGGCATAGCTGGACAGGAAAAATCTGGATTATACTCTGTATTCATCACAAAAATTAATGCTTAGGTTTTGACTTAATTATTCTCCTATGTCTGCTTTTTCAAAGTAAGAAAAAAAACATTAAATGAGTAGACTGATCCCATTTAAAAGCCAAGTACAGTAAATATGGCACTTTCTAATGACCTGCGATATGAATATGTAGAAAATACCAACTTACTTCTGAATAGCCTTCTCCTGTTGTGCATATTTGTACTGCACACACTTCTCGAAGACTACCATGCATCCCTCCTGGTCCGTGGGGAGTCCATTGACAGGTGAGCTCCCTTTCCGCTCACTTCTATCGTCACCATGCGGCAGCTGACAAGCCAAGAGCTCAGACTCAAGCTCATCTAGCAGTGACTCTTGTGACAGTGACCGCTGGATCTGAGAAATAAGCTTTCGGCTGCAATCAGTGTCATAAGGACTTGCAGAAGAATTTGAGGGAAACAGGTTTTTGGCACTGGTTTGAGGGCTGGAAGCAAGCGAAGAGCTAAAGGTGTCAGAGATCGGGGTAGAAGGTCCATTAGAAATACCGGAGGTTGTTGTTGAGTCTGTGGGTGAGTTTTTGGAAGTGCTATGGACATTAGAGGATGATGGACTCTCAGCTGAACTACTATCCTCAGCAGGTGATGGCTCAGTGGGGCAATTTGTAACCAAGAGCGATGGCTGTTCATTGCCATTTGGAATGGTAGCATCAAAAGTCAATACGGTATCTTCTGTCCCTTTAAGAACAGAAGGAGAGTTTTCTACTACATCCACAGTAGGTACTGGGGCTACCAAAGTGCTACCACTCTCATTTGAAGGACTTTGTGGAGGCTTCCCACTTTCCACTAAAACAGTTCTGGTATCAACAGGCTCCTCTTTCACATCTGGATGTTCATGACTGCATGTTTGAGCTTCATGTTCCGTCTTTGTGTCCATCTCAGCAAGTGCTGTAGTCTTGACTGATTCACCGTCAAGCTGCAATTCATCTTTTGCCTGACTGCAGGTTTCTGCCTCCTGTGCACTGTTGAGAGAGATTTCTTCCTCCTCGTCTGCATTAGACGTGTTGACATTAAGGAGATTCATCTGGTGTGATGCCGTCGTCAAGGACTGAACCTCTGATCCTTCCATCATTTATGTATCTGAAGCAGGACTGAGGTGTACCCAGGTCCTCCTCTGACTCAAATCTGTGTGACAGAGAGAAAAAAAAAAAAAAAGACTGAATGGAAGCAGACCGAAACTATTTATTTGTTTTATTCACACCAACACAGCAGTTTTTCCGTGAACAACCTGAAATTCCTTTAAGTCACAGATACAGCGGTCCTGGATTACTATCATGTTTTCCCTTCCTTGTTAAGCTTAAAATTTCCTCATTGTAGTTTATTATGCAACCAAAAGGAAGCCTAAACTCAAAGAATTTCCCAACATACAGCCTCATTTGCTGCGACACACACAAAGGGGTGTGGACCTGGAAAAACCTGTGGTGAGATACAGCTTGAAGAGCATGGTACACACATAAGATAGGCATTTACGATTACTGCAAAGCCTGAACTTGCTTTCAAAATGCATGCATTCAGAAGTCCCACAATTAGAAACATCCTGTTTAATGAATTCATTCACTTTCACTTTTTATTACACTTCCAAGGGACTCGTGCATACTCTCCAGTCAACGTAAAGAATAAGAAATAAAACAGCAATGGCTGAGAAAAAGAAATTAAAGACAGTTTATAATTTAAGAAAATGTGTCTGCTAGCAGATTTGCTCTAAATGGTTTAAGGTTAGTAAACAAAGCCGTCCTATCGGAGTCTGAAGCCTTAAATTACAATTTTTTTTTATTTAAATAGCGTTTTCGCAGCATTTGCCGTGTTATTCATTACTATGATTATTAATAACTGGGATCCTTTAAGTTATTCTCCCTTTAACAATGTGTAATCGTGACGCCCCTTTTCTGTTTCATGTCCCGAAATCCTCCTCATTTGTCCCACCTCTTTCAATACCATCGTCTAGCACTGCTCTTATACCAACTAAGAGCAGTTTCTTTATGTTATTTACACTAATACATACAATCATTAAGCTCACCATTACCCTGCAGTCATAAATGTAAGGCTGCAGTTACAAAACGGCGTCTTCTGTTGACGCAGTAAAAGCGCAACAGCTTTAACAGATGCAATGCAGAAGATGCTCCAGTGACGGGTGCCATGCAATAACACAGGAGTTATTGTAATGTAGGCAGTCAGTCTTATTAAAACATACCGTTAAGTGTCCGAGCTTGCTGTAAGCAGCAGGCCGACGTCCCGCTTGTGTTTACTGCTGATTAATCTACATTTCGCTTCATTTAACGTTAGCAACACCTTTGATGGCTTTAGCTCGCTAGCTATTGATTTTGCCTTGACAGGGCTATGAAAACGAAAGGAAAAGAAAGACTGGCGTACGACATAGAACACCCTGTGAGTAAAATATAGCTACTAACAATAGGTTTAAGGCTAAACTACAGACTGATAAACTGTAAGCGTGCAGTTAGCCTAGAAAGCTAAGCTACACTGATAAGCCTTGTGTTAGCTCGTACAATCCAATCATCTCACGCTTGACTTAGCGCAGCTGGCGCTAGCATCGAACATAGATATCAAAGAAAGCTTAATAAAGGCTGTTATAAGTTACCCACCGAGAAGGAAAACCCCATGGTGTGCTTCGATGTGGAGACAATCGGGGTAAAAATGAACTTTGAACCTCCCCTGCCTTACCAGCTGATCGCACAACAAGTCAGTCACTTTGATATGACACATCAACAAATATGGCCACTGCAAGAGAACCGATGAGACGATATAAACCAATGACAGCCCAGTGAGAAATGACGTTTGTCTGACGTAAATACAGGATAGGCTCCAGCCTATGGACAGCCCAGCCCTGACTACAGGTATCTACAACACCCACGTTTATTTTCTGGAAGAATTAATAATATGTTACATATTCAGAAAGAGCGCATATGAGCACAGTAAAACCCCAGTTCTGAAGATGTTGGGATGGTGTATAAAATGTAAATAAAAACCGAGTGCAGTGATTTGCAGAGCTCATAAACCCATATTTTATTCACAGTAGAACAATCAACATATATTAAATGTTCAAATCTTAAAAATGTACCTTTTTAAAGGAATAAAAAGGTGATTTTGAATTTGATGGCATCAATAAATAAATCTGGTTCTCTAAGAATGATTATTCATAATCACATCTGTAGTACTGATTATAGAACTGAGTTAACAAGTGAGTCTTTTAACAAGAGCCCATAAACATTCGTTAACTAGGGGGATCAATTATTGGACTTATGGGAGATGAATGCTGTACGATTTGTGTCTGTCTGTCATCTTTGTTGTACATTTTCATTTCACTCCTTTCATGATACTGTTTTCAGCTGGTGAAAGACCTGGACTGGAGGCAGGCCACTTCAGTACCTGCACTCTTCTACTATGAAGCCATGCTGTTATAATGGTTGGAATATAAAGTCTAGTGTTGTTGTGTTAAAACATATAAAGCCCTGAAAAATGGATGAGCATATGTTGTTCTAAAAGCTATATATATATAAATATATTTCAAAACTCATGGTGCCTTTCCACATGTACAAACTACCAAATCCATAGGCACTTAAGTACCCCCATACCATCAGAGATGCATGCTTTTGAACTGAGTACTGATTTAGCCAAGAACATGTTTTCCAAAAAGAATTTCAAATTTTGATTTGTCTGATGGCAGGACAGTTTTTTATTTTGCGTCAGTCCATTTTAAATTAGCTTTGACGGCACATAGAAGGTTTTCTCGTGCTTAAAGTAAAATAGGCTTTATGACACAAGAATGACACTTTTTACTGGCAAAGCATCTTAAGGAAATGTAAAGATACACAGACGATGGCTTTAGATTAGTCTTTAATGTAGATAGTTTTTAAAAAGTAAAAGATAAAATGTAAAAAAAATAAAATAAATTGAAAATGAAAACAAACACTGGGCACACTGCTTTTAAACAAATGACTTGCACTGATGTAATGAAGTACTAAACAATGTGCTACTCCTGGTACTCAGCAAGTATGGCTTAGACAATATTTGATAATGTAATTGCTTGTATTGTAATTATTTGTATTGTAATTGTTTATAATGGTTGGCAAGTTGAATTCTGACCTCATCTGTCAGCCTGTCCATCACCACTGGAAACAAGAAGTTACTGGAAACAACAACAGTTCCTCTGCTTTGTCTAGATCCACAAAGACAGTTCAACTGCTATTGACTTTCTCTATACGGCTCCACCAACATCCTCAAATAAAACATCTCATCTTTAGTGCTTTTCTCAGCACTAAGCCACACAACCAAACTTCAACTCTTTCAGTTCTTTTCAATTCAATTCAGTTTTATTTATATAGCACTAAATTACAACAACAGCTTCCTCAGGGCACCCACAATGAAAACAGAGAAAACCCCAACAATGAAATGATGGCCTATAAGCAAGCACTTTGGGGACAGTGAGAAGGAAAAACTCAATTTAACAGGAAAAAAAACTCCATTAGAACCAGGCTCAGGCTGCAACCGGTTTGGGGTACTTTCTCAAATTTTCTTGAGAGATTTTCCAGAGGTTTTACTTTATTGATCTTTTGCTATTCAGTCCAGTTACTTTTCCTATGTTTCCTCCTAACCTCTCAATAATATGCCAACATATCGGCTTCAGTAATTGTTAACTAAACTTGATTTGGGCTCGTGAACATTGTGACCTGTGCGACACTGATGCTACTGCGCATGAGCACAACTTTTTCCCCTTTCTGGTCAAACAACACGTGCAAGGTATGGCATTGAGTCTGCGGTGTACAAGTACACTAAAACGTTACGTTTATTGGATTATTTGACAGAATAATGCTCTTCAGATGTGTTGCTGGCGGTTTTTATTCGTTTAACGTGATTTTTTAAAAATAGTTTGCTAATGCATTATTATGTGACCTTGACTCGTAGCTTTAGTAACCTTTAGCTAGCTAAGAATGCTAAAGTGCAGATATAAGTTAAGTATAATGTCTTGATACAGTCATTTGTTATATAACACTGAAAGGTACTGAAATGAACCGCTCATTTTCGACAAATGTGGTTCGACCAAACCTGCCTTTGAGGAAACCTTCGTCGATCCCAGCGGGTGTTTGCGGTACATTACCTCTTCCAAGACACCTCACCATGCCCAGCGCTCCAGCCGTGCGCCTCCCATCAGGCGCCATTGGGGACGGTAAAAAAACAAACAAAACAAAAAACCCTCCAAAATGTGCAGTTATGCTGTTATTCACCGATAAAACTAAAAATGAAGGAATCTGATAATTCTGTAAAAATAATTTGCTCGTTTTTTTTCTTCCTTTTATTTTGCAGGTCCCATAAATTCATCAGTGAACAGGGATAAATCTGGAGTATGTATTGTTGATGGTTTTGTCGTTTGCTAGATATGTGTGGGGTTGATTAGAAATAAGTATATCAAAGAGAGTGCTCAGATTGAGCACTTTGGAGACAAAGTTAGAGAGCCATGGTTGAGATGGCATGGGCAGAGGAGGGATAGTGGATATATTGGACTCAGGATAATTTTGGAGGTGTAAGGCAGGAGAAAGAGGAAGACCTCAGAGGAAGTTAGGATGCACTGAAGGAGAACATGCAGAGGGTTGGTGTGACGAAGGAGGAAGCTATTGAGGGTTAGAGTGAGACAGATGATCTGCTCTAAAAGGAGTTTCCAAAAGAAGTAGAAGACTGTTGAATAGAAATAAAAGTCAGTACTATTTTTGTTTCCCCTTACAGTTGTTGGGATCTGGTCAGCCATCTCTGACTGTGCATTTCTGCAACTACTGTGGTCACCAAGGTAATATGACAGTTTAAATGTGGCATTGTGTTTATTTGGCAGCATGTTTTTGTTTTGTTTTTTAAGCCAGAGGCTCTTAATTTGTTTTTGTTTTTTGGTTATCTTTAGTGATTTGCACTTTCATTTCAGCGCTGTTGTTCTTATGTAAGCATTTTAGTAAAGTCTAAAATAACTGTTCATTCACAGGCAATTTTCGATGCAAGCGTTGTAAGAAGGTGCCTTACTGCTCAGTGGCTTGTCAGACAGAAGACTGGAAGACCCACAGACATGTGTGCAAAGCCCTTGATCCAGAGCCTGTAAAGTAAGCTTGGGCAACACATTGTGCTACTGGCTGACAGTTGTTAATATTAATGAATGCTTAAATATCCATTTATTGTTTTACCAGCATAGGATGAAATTAGATGGAATGCCCAATAAATAATGTGAAGTTGTTTGTTTATCTTAATCTAAAGAGGGAAACCAGTGGAAGCAGCGGCTGTGCCAGCTAAAGAAGACAGAGCCAGCCTGGGGGAGCTGAAGGTAATTGCAATACTTCACTGATATGCTAATGCAAGTAAAAGTTGAAAGCTTCACATTTGCACAATTTGAAATCAAAACTAAGTTAAAGAAAGTAATCTGTGTTATTATTTTTTTTAAATTTGTATATTGAAGCACGGTGAATCGTCTAGCCTCCAGAGGGTTTATTTTAAGGACTTGCATGTAACTAAAGTCATCAAGGGAACAGACATCCAGGTAAAATGTATCCAGTTTGCCTCAAGCTTCAAAAGTAAAAGCAGATTTTTTTGTGTGTTATTAAATACCAGAATGAGTGATTTGAGTTGTTGCTGTTTTTAGGCATGTGTTGTAGAGTTCTACAGCCCCAGCAGGTTTTTCCTTGTCCCTCAAAGCCCTGAGTTGCTGGAATCTTTGCAGAGCATCAGTACAGAGCTTCAGAAAACATACTGCAGCTCCTCAGTGACAACACATGTACCCTGTGTTGGAGAGATTTGCGCGGTTCAGTTTTCCTGTGATATGGTGAGCCGAGGCCTTCTTAAGCAAGTCCTCAGGTTGCTATTTGTAATATTTACATTGGCTGTGTTTTGACTTGGGGCCCCCTTTTTGTGTGTGTGTCTAGAAGTGGTACCGAGGCCTTGTACAGACTTTGGCTCCTGACCATAAGATGGCTAACGTCCTTTACATTGACTTTGGCAATGAAGAAAATGTCCCTGTGGATAGGATCAGAGCCCTGACGGCTGACATCAAGCCTTTTTGCCCATGTGTGGGTGCATATTTGCACAGTTAATACATTCCCTGTGACATGCTGGCATTTTAAATTTGGTCCTTGGCTCTTTTATTTGCAGGCAATGGAGTGTCGTATCACAGGGGTTGTGCCGGTGGCGGGGAGCTGGTCAGGCGAGTGCTGCATTGCTGTGAGACAGCTGCTGGCTGGGAAGATTGTCACAGTTAGGCTGGTGGAAACTGTAGAAGACGGTCGCATTCATGCTGTGGATATTCTGCTTTCCATGGGTGACTTATATAAAACAGAGATGCACATTTAAAGGATCTACTGAAGTTAAAATGTTTAAGCCCAGCTCTCGCCCGGTCTCTTTCTTTTAGGAAAACAGTTGAACACGTTCCTCCTTGAACACGGCTATGCAGATAAAGAGCCAGTTAACATCGTGCCAACTGAGCAAGATATCAGTAAGATTCATATACAACATCCTCAGTCAGTGCAATTTGTAACATTTAAAATGTGTTTTTGTAACCATTTTTTTCTTTTTCTTCCCCAGATGCCATGATGAGCGCATCTTTGGAAAATTTCCGGTGCCTCTCTGATGGAAAAGATGACAATACCTGGGCACAACCACCAGAGCCAATAACACAAGCAGTGGGTGATCAGCTCTCTGTTGTGGTCACCCACTTCCAGTCACCCACTGA